TTCGGTAGCTGTTCATTTTCTCGATCTCATTCCGACGGATCCGTAAGTCTCGGGGGATGCGAGATGTCCCGAAGTCGATAGTGATTAAAACTTTGACTTAAACTACCCGACCAGAACTCGGTTGGCTATTCGAGGATCGATTTGGTATTCCGGATATGTGAGAGCCTGCTAGCCCGGCACAACGAATTGATCCGTTGTACAAGGAATGAAAATTGACACGGAGGCAATGATCAATGCTGATCGCAAGAGTGGCACTACTCGAATCTATATTTGCAAGAATGGTCGGGTTGCCTCGAAAATCTCAAAATATCTGGCAGTAATATATCTATTCTATTCAGCTATTTTAACATTAGAATTCGATTAATGATGAGCCAATATCTCAAACTTATAATATAGCAACATATACGTAAAGAGTAAATATAAGTAGCAAATATATCAAAAGAGCATAATATTTATAACTAATCTATTTAAGCGATCAAATGCGCAAATGAGAGCAATTATTGTTATTATATTGTTAGAATAAAAATGAAACAATAAGGGGGACGCAAATCGAATTACGCAAATAAAAACTACCCGGCACTTAATGGCAGAATTTGACTCTTGATCATTTAAAATCTGTTTCCAGAAATATATAGAAAAGAAAGATGCTTGCTGATGCTGAAGATTGAAGTGTTTACGTTATTAAGCAAATGTACAAGGAGTGTATCCTAATATGGGGGGCCCGGCATGCGGGTCTAAACGCCGACTAAGCACCATGAAATTCTCATCGATCGCGACGACGACGACGATGTCGACGAAGAGAGAGAGAATCAGAATCAGAATCAGAATCATCATTTATTAGACGCTCTGGGACTACGTCCCCTAAAGCGTCGAAACCAAATTACAAAGAGTGTCAAATAAAATAAACATTCGTGCATTCATATATAACAAAAAAATAAAAAAAGAGTAACTACAATGGAAGATACAAGAGTAAAGTAAGTAAAGAAAATACAGATACTAATAGCTAAAAAATGATTTGCAAGAGCTGTAGGGCAAAAAATAGTTTACACAATAATCTCAAGATACGCTTAGGTCTACCGACAGAAATCTCATGCGCTTAAAGATGAGAACAGAAATTTATATAATTTCGCCTTAAAAGAGCCGATACACGTCGTGTTGCGAATGTCGGAAGGGAGAGAATTCCACAGCTCGGCAGCAGAGAAACAAAAAGATCGCTTAAAGAATTCAGTACGGCAGAGCGGAAGGTTAAGGATATCGGTTGGAGATCTAGTATTCCGCTGCATGTTTTCATGCCTAAAAGTAAAATTGCTGAAGATAACTTATGGCTTTTCCTTCCTGAGTACAGAGAATGTCAGACTTCCCACCAAATATGACCGCCTAAGATCGATCTTGAGCCAGCCCAATCTGACAAGATACGGAGTGATGTGTTCGTCGCGCTTGAGGTTGAAGATAAAGCGCACACATCTGTTCAGGGCTCTCTGCAGGCGCAGGTTATGCTGGCCTGTGATGTTAGTGAGAACTGTGCAGCAGTAGTCAAAATGAGGAAGCATTAAGGCAGAGACAAGCTTCACACGAAGAGGAACTGGGAGAAGTTGCCTGCTAAGTTTAAGCTGGTAGAGAGCCGAATTCACTTTGGAGATCGTTTTAGTCGCCTGTTTTTCCCATGAGAGAGTGCTATTGATTGACACACCCAAGTACTCCACCGAGTCCGAGAAAGGAATCGCGGATTCCCCGACTCGAACCTGAGGCACAGAGTCCAGATCGACGTTCCTTACAAAGCGCGGTGTTCCCAAGATCATTGCCTTTGTCTTTCCAGGGTTGATCGTCAGCTTGTTATCGACAGCCCACTGCACAATCCTCTCTATATCCTCATTTATCCTCCTGATAGCGTCCAAAAGAAACACTGGCTCAGCATGCAGATAGATCATAAGATCATCCGCGTAAAAATTGTACTTGCAGTAATGTAGGACATTTCCGAAATCCACCAGGTAGAGGAGAAAGAGAATCGGTCCGAGAACAGAACCCTGTGGTACACCCTTTCGAACAGTTCTCTCAGTCGACGGCATCCCAGTGGACGGGTCGCGTACCGCCTGTTTTCTATTGGTTAAATAGGAACAAAGCCAACGCAGAGTAGAGCAAGCAAAGCCCAGATTCCTGGCCTTGTCAATCAAGATGTCGTGACAGACATTGTCAAAGGCCTTAGAAAAGTCAAAAAATACGGCTATAGTGATCCTCCTCTTATCAGCAGCCAGCCTGACCTCGTCCAAGACCCTTATGAGCGCCGTCTGCGTGGAAAAATCCTTTCTGTAAGCAGACTGAAAAGGGTCGAGAAGGTTGTGTTCCTCTAAGTATCTCATAATCTGGTCTGCCGCAATGCGCTCGAGGACCTTCGAGGTAGCACACAAGATAGAGATTGGCCTGAAATCATTTAGCACGGCAGGACTTCTAACTTTAGGGACGGGACAGACAATGGCCGACTTCCAGACCTCAGGAAAGACCCCGTGGGAGAAGCAAAAGTTAAAAATGTGAGTTAAGGCTAGGAGGATGCTCGGAAGCGCCCTAACCACCAGGCTCCGAGGTAGTCCATCCACTCCCATGGCATCCGACTTACTCTTGCCGATAGTCCGAACAATATCCAGGGGCTCAATGTTGCTCCAATAAAATTTTGAGTCATCATACGCAGTCTCGCCCAAGTAGATGGCCTGGATACAGTCCGTGTTCGACGTCACGTTGCACGTAAAGTGGTCAACAAGTTCCTCGCTGGTAAAAGCGAGATTCTCCGTCCTTGCTTTGGATTTAAGAAGACCGAATTTTCTGAGTTTTCGCCAGATCTCATTAGGCTCATTCAAATCCTGGAACTCCTCATGGAAGAACTCCGACTTAGCCCTCCGTACCTCGACCTGCACCAAGTTTCTCAGGCGTCTAAAGGTGAGGTAGTTAGCGTCCGTTCTACTCCTCATCCAGACTCTTCTGGCTCTATCCCTCTCCCTCATCCGGGATTTAATATCCTCCGTGAGCCAAGGTGCTGGCAGGTGCTTGGGTCGTATGACCCGGAAGGGAGCATGTTGGTCGTAACAAGTCAAAAGGAGATTGTTGAAGATATCAACTTTTGCGTCGACACTAGCTGCAGAGTAAAGCTCAGACCAGTTCAGAGACGCAAGTTCGTCGAGAAAATTCTCCAGATTAAAAGCTCGAAAATCCCGAACTCGGATGGTGCGCTCAGGGATCCGCTCTATCCTGACATCGTATGTGATGGCGATGAGATCGTGAGCGGATAGAAAGCAGACCTCACGCTGCACGTAATCGACAAGCTTATCAGACTCATCTATAAGGCACAGGTCAAGCAGGGTGGAGGCAGTACGGGTATGATGCGTAGTGGTGTAGGGCACAAGAAAAAAGTTAGATGCGCGAACAAATGAACGAATATGTTCCGAGTCAAAGGTCGAGGAACAAAGATCGGCATTAAAATCCCCGAAAATGATGGAGTGCTTGTAATTAACCGACAAATCAGAAAAGACGTCAAAGAAATCCGAAAATCCGCAGTGTGGTGGTCTGTAAACAACAGCTAGTAGTATCTTGGAACAGTTCCTGACAGAAATCTCAAGAATTAGATGTTCAGGACCTTCACAGTTGATGTTCCCGGATTGGCGCAAGGTCGAGGCCCGGAAAGAGTTCGACATGTATACTGCCACCCCCCCACCACCTCTACCGACACGGTCGCATCTCAGGAGATGATATCCATATAGAGAGACCATATGATCAGGTACATGCGGTTTTAGCCAGGATTCAGATATGCAGATGATATGATATCCCGAACCAACGAAAAAGGATCGGAATTCATCAAGATGTGCAAGCAGAGATTGGCAGTTGACATGACAGAGACGAAGATGATTCGTAGGCTCATTATCCATAATTAATGCTGCTAATCCTTTCCGACATACGTCTGCGTAAGATGGGACAGTTCTTGTTGTCAAGGGCTGAATGTTGTCGTCCTGCTTGAGGCAACCATCGCTTGCAGTTCCCGCACTCCGGTGCCCCGCTCCTCAAGGTGCAATTCCTAGTTTCGTGACCGCCTGCACAGTGACCGCATATAGTCGTGAAACGACAATCTTTCGCGAAATGACCGAAAGCAAGGCATTTGAAACACTGTAGGACTCTTACGTAGTCAGTAATCTCGCAGGCAAAGTAGTCTAAAAATATGTACCGGTCTTTAAGCAAATGAGTGCGGATGTCCGGAGTGACCTCAATCACGCAGTTGGTCGTGCGCCGATTATCTTTCCGGGGAAAGATGTACACAACTTTTAACTCAGGCGCATCGTGGTCCTTTAGGTTGAGAGTGACAAGATCCTCCTTTATCTCCTCCCTCGACATGGTGCATGGCACTCCGCGAATCAGTAGCCTAGGGTTGATTTTGCCTTCCTGCTCCAATCTGAGTCCAGCGTCTTCAAGTTCCCGAGAACTTTTTATCTTGGGCAGATTCACAGTAAGTGCCTCAATACGCACACCGTTGTTCTTCGCTGACGTAATTCTGTTGACCTTAAGGTTGTACTCAGATGGCTTAATGGTCTTTTGCAGCACTTCCCTGGTTTCCCTAGACGTTTTGTACTTCGCGGAGAAATCCTCCTTTGGAGTAACAATCAAGTTGGTGGTTCTAGGTACCTCGATAGAGGAGCCGCGAGCCACCCGCACGCACGATTGCTCCGAAACCACCGCTGCATAAGAGGGCACAGAGGAAGCGCCGGCGTTCCTCTGCTCTATTGGCTGAAGATTGCCGCTCAAGCTAGCTGTTAATTTGTCGTGGGCATCAGACAAGGCGTCGCCTACTATGCTTCTGACCGTTTCCGCAATGTTAACCTGTTGAGAATCGCTTTCAATCATCTTAAGATATGCCGCAGAGAGTTCAATAAATGCCTCTTTACAAGCGCGAAAGGCCGAATCGATCTGAGTTCTCTTTTCAAGACTTTCCTTGCTAGTCAGTAACAGTCTCGACACATTGTCGTGATGCCTGTTAAGAGATTGCCTCAGGGCATTGACTTTCGAAGCATTTAATACAGAGTTTTGCAAATTCGCCGCCGATAATGTACGCGTAAGACCTTTCGTAATATTTATATTTGTGTTTTCCCTCTGCCCGCCGCCTTCCGTGTCCGCAGAAGTGGGAGAAGGATCCGTCGTCCGCGGAGAGAGAGAGAGAGAGAGAGAGAGAGAGGCGCCAGGAAGACCGACACGCCGATTTATAACGCACTAAAACCGACGATGCGTGTGATCTGCGTGCGTCTCACGCATACCGCACGCACCTACACGCATCCCTCTCGCTACAGCTAGCGCAGATATCCCTTCAAATCGATTCGCATCAATTATGATACATGGAAGTAAAAATTTAAATCTCGGAAGTAACGCAAAGAACAATGCTTCGTGCTTTGCTTCAAATTTCTAAACGCGTCGTAAGAAGTGCACGCGCGCGGATGTCAAATTAAAAAGAAACCCCGATTAACAATTGAAAGTATGATTCATTGTAATCTCGACATTTCTCCTTTACCACCGTCACGCGGGAACATGAATGCCAAGAGGAATATCACAGTCGAGTGGGGTAGCAATTCCACCGTTTCGCATAAATATTTTTCATCACAGTTTTCCGTCCCTCTCGCGACCAAGAGGGAAATGTTTATCGTATATTACGGGTGATGGGGGTTAAGCGCGGTGGAAACATTTGTTAGGATAAATTCCAGCTGTCTGCAGGAAAGAGAGAAAACGGACGAGGCGGTCGAAAGTTCTGAACATAACGAATTACTCGAATATTTAATGTATATACGTGATTTCGGATTTCGTTAGTGTGCAAAATAGTTTGGAATGAGGGATCCGACACTCGCTCTCGTATCAATTACCTAACTACCCGCAGAGGGAAGGAACGAAAAAATAAAAAATAAAAAGAAGAAAAAAGAGATAAGCGCGAGACGATTCTAGTCAGTCCGCGCCATTTGTCTGCCTCCAACTTTTTAATTAATAACATCGCCGAGATGACCGACCTCACGAAAATCAGAGCAGCCAGCGTTTTAATCCTTTTCCGAGATACGTTTCGCACGTTCGTGGATTAGTCGGGCTTAATTTGCTACAATGTATGTGCGCTATCGTGCTGGACGTCAATTTAATTATCGCCATACCGCAATGGCGGAAAGAGGGTACTTAATGCTAATTGCGATTAAGCTGGACAGAAAAATCAAAATATGTTCATTTTTTCAAAAAAAACAGAATCTAATTTTTTATTAAGTTTTTTAAATTTAAAATTTTATTAAAAATATTGGCCATGCATGTATCACGAATTTTTATCTGCAATGTAAAAGACGATGCAAATATACATAAATATAAAGATATAATAAGGCTCTTAACTTGATATTTAAAGAAATTCAAGAAAGTAAAGTTTATCTCAATACATATACTTTTCATATAATAATCCTGTCTTATAATAATAACCCGATAATAGAACCATCGATCATTATTTGAAGGTAATTTATGTCAATTTTCTGAAGCTGGTAGATAAATGAGAGTAAGAAAAGTGATGGTAGAATATACACCTGCGTAATCATGATTGCTTTTTTTGATGCGTAAATACAAAAATATTTTTAGCAAGTAGATCCCGTCGTCCGTGTTCTCCTGTCGCTGCTCGCAAAATTGCGTGGACCGGATGCGAAACTCAGTTCCCGCGTTTCGCGCGCTCGCCCATTCTTATTCCCGCGAAATAACCTTAAATTCTGTTTGCCAGTTCTTTTTACACAAAGGACCGGATATGTAGATCGGGCATCGGGGGGGTCTTCTCCGTATGAAAGGCTAATATCGTGCCGCTACGTGTTCCGCGTGCGCGATGCCGATTGTCGAGGCAGGCAGCGTCAGGGAGACATAAGGATACGCGAGAAGAAGAGAAGCACGCGCTATAAAACCATTGCCTCGCTGATCATAGGAGGGACGACTGTATTCAAATCGTCTCCCAATGTATCTCACGATCGAAGCCAGACGGGAAGAGAGAAAAAGAAAAAGAGAAAGAGAGAGAAAGAGGAAGCGTATCTTTTTTTCATAAATCCATAACGCGAGTTATAAAACAACCATTTGATGGTGGAAAATATCGGACGAGCAACCCTCGAGATGATTTGCTGATGTATCATTTTTATTGCCGTATGAAAGTCTTTATATTGGATAAATTTCCATACGCAGCGTAAATATCGCCGCCTCTTGATTGCTTTTACAAACTGTGAAACTCAATGTTGACCAAATATAGACGAATGTAAAATGTCGTCAAAAAATATTTATAAAATATTTGAATTACAATTATAAATAGAAAAAAAGAGAGAAAAAGAATTTGCATATTTTATCCAATTTAATATAAATGCGGCTAAAAATACTTAATTATATCTACCCTTACGAGCCAAATGAAGAATAATGCAAATTATACAACTTGCATGCATAAATTTGATTATATAAATAAATATATAGGAATTAATTAAGACGCAAGAAAAATATATAATTGCTTATTAAAATATATATCCAATTAATTAACTTATTAATGTCATTTTTTCGTTGTATAGTAAATCAGAAAGTGAAAACTAATCGAGGACTTATTCCTTAATAAATATCTAAAATCAAAGCACATTCTAAAACACACACACAGCGAGTGACGGAGGAAGAAAACGAGACAATCACGAACCGCAAGTTGGTGGAAATACAGTTTCAATGTGAATTTTCCGCGTGTGCTAGAAGCTGTCTGTGCTCGACTGTTCATGACAAGATTGGTCGTCGACGTGGACGACGACGACGACGACGACGACGATGACGATGACGACGCGACGGCGGCGGCGACGACAACGACGACGACGACGATGGCCCTCGACGACGACGACGTCGACGACGACGACGACGACGACGACGAGGACAACGACGGTGGCAGTAGCATCCTGTTTCCTCGTGGGCAGTAAAGGCGAATCGTGGTGCTTTTCGGACGAAATAAGCGAGGTAGTAACGTCTGGAGCGGACAGATCCCATTCCGGATTGCAGATCTGCCACCCGCAATCCACCCGACCCTGTGCCTGACCGCGGATCGGGCGCAAAAGTTTGCCTCGCTCTCTCTCCCCGCTCATCGCACTTTGCAGGTGAAACAAGGGACCTCGTCCGGAAGAGAATTCCGATACATAGCGCCGGCCGTATTGGCGCAACCACGACCGATATTGCTGGAGGTTAATCGCTATATAATACCGCAAAAATTTAGAAAATAATTCGAGATATTATCTAGATATAAAAGTTACGATGATAGAGATAAAAAAAATCAGAAGCTTTTGAACATAGTATTTTATGTTCTTAAAAAATATGCGTAATGAGACCAATCTGCACTCGCCGTCCTAAACTATTGTAAAAATCAGTTATGATCGGAATACCAATAAAATATATGGTTTTACGAGCGCGCCTTCGCGTCGTAGAAAAATTTCATTTTCGCGGCGCGAGTCGGGCGAACTTGTCTTTCACAGTTTGGCTCGCGACACATAAGCGAATATCGGCGCGGGGCATTGTTGCGCGTATAACTTTAGCTGTCAACAGTTTTACGATCCGCTGGTCGCGCGCACTCTCTCCTCCCGTTCCCCCTTTCTTTCTCATCGCCGAAATCGACGGTTTCTCCCCTCGCCCTTTCCGGGGATCGTTCGTCTATCATCCATCTCTCGGCGAGTGCATTTCATTTTCGCGAACGGACGTATACCGGGGCGTCTGCGAGAAAATTTATGAACAACCCCATCGCGAAGGAAATTGCGGCCACGAGATTTCGTTCGCAGCGAAAAATACGTGCGACCGACCGGTTTTGTACGTGAGATTTTACGACCTTACGTGGCCACGGAGTAAAACGAGCGGTAAACACATTCTGAGCAACGGCGAATTTTTTTCTTGTCGACTGCCGAAAGAGCACAAGGTATTAACCGCGCGAGAAAAGGTTTACGACGACGCGTGCGAGTGCGAAGAAAAATGAACGCTAGATTTCTCTTATAAAAGTCGTACAACACAAATTGCGAGGCAAAATTCGAATAATGATACACGTGTAAACACTCGTAGACGAGGCGCGCAGACAAAAATAGAATTAATTAATCCGAACGCGATGCCAGTAACGAATTTCTCACCGCGATGGTGTTTACAACAAGGAGAGGAATTGCTGGAACTGGCAAGTTTAGATTTCCCCGACCGACCGAGCGATACATCGGGTATACATACAAATACGGAGGAACAGGTACGATCTTATCCCATGGGAATATAGCAATCTTGCAAATATTTGGATGAATTACACGTACAACGTCGAATCACGTTGCTTGGCTCACACGTCGAAGTTTGATTCTGCCACGAATAACACTTTTATCTGTAGGAATAGTAAATTATGTATCGGTGGCAGATATAGGAAATATTTATTTCTTCTTACATGCTCGCATGAATATTGCGAAAACACGGGCAAAAGTTTTAAAGACGACATCACGTTATATATCGCGTAGCAGAACAGCTCGGTTATATTTGCGGATAATATTGACCGGGGCTGTCACACCCTCCAACAAATTTCATATTTCCTCTTCGGTAGTATCTTCGACCCCGTAACAACTTGGAGCCGCGGGATCGACACTAACTCCATGTCTTTCTTTTACCCCCCTCATACATTATTTTCTTTCCGGCGTGTTCGAGTATTTACACACATAATCTTCATATTTATTCGCGTTATCGCTTCGTAGACGTATAAATATTTTCCTCGATTAAGCGGAGAGAGCAGAAACGTCCGGAATAATTATCTCTGAACTTCACGAGCGCACATGCATAATTAAACGCACAAAATGGAATTGCACATTTCATAATTACAATCCATTTCATTGTGTTAAGTCTCGTTACTACTTATATTTGATTATTTTAATTATTTATAACTTACATTTGGTTACATCATGTAATTATAATAAATGCTCTAAAATATATTTAACCCTTTTCAATTGTCACCAAATCGTTTTAATTATTAAAAAAAAAATCTAAATAT